CTTTAAAGAAAAAAAAATACATTTATTTCTTTCTATTTCTATTCCTTTTTAATTTTTGAAAAAAAAAAATAGACAAACAATATTCAAAATTTTGCTGTTGAAAACATTAACAAGTGCCATGCCACAAGTAATAATGTAATATTATATTACTTATGGCATTTATTTTTCGCCCTGCTCATTTATTTAAATATGCTTTGCAGAATTATGTTATGGCACCGTTAATCGAATGTATTAAATGTGAGTACGTTTACGGGGTTGGTTATGGCTACGGCAATATTGTATGTATGTATGTATGCCTTAAAGGCTACAATCGGACATGGCCGATCATGTGATACTTATCCACCAATATAAATTGCGATAAAGTTTTTGTAGATCTGAAAGTCTTCTACAGCGACTGCTCCCTGCCAAGCAATTGCAAAATCTGAGAAAAATACAGCATCATCTCCAATAGTATTAGGACTCTACTCTGATGATAGCTATGAGGCGACCTCTAGAGTGAGTACAATTGTGAGAACCAAAGTGAGATAAAACAAGTAAAAAAGCAGTAAGTTCGGCCGTTCCGAACTTTGAATACCCTCCACCAGTTGGAACGAAATAGAACATTTTCAAAAAAGCAAAATCAATTAAAAATTCTGTTATAATCTTTAGAATACCTACTATCGAAAGGTGGCGATATATGGGGGGATATACGAGATTGCGGACCTATATAGACAAATCTATGTCTGGGGGTAAAGTACTCACAAAGAACTCCTTGTGTAGAATTTCAGACAATTCCATTGGAAAATGTTGCTAAAATCATCAAAATACAGAATATTGGGGGTACCCTTATATGGGGGCTATACGAAGACGTGGACCTGCACAGACAATTTTCTGTCTTAGGGTGTAGTATCCATTTCGAACTTCAAGTACCAAATTTGAAACAATTCCCGTGAATAATGTCGTTAAAATCATCAAAATACCGAATATCGGGAGGTACCGTTATATGGGGGCTATACGAAGACATGGACTTGCACAGACAATTTTCTATCTTAGACTGTAGTATTCATTACGAACTTCAAATACCAAATTTGAAACAATTCCGGTGAATAATGTCCCTAAAATCATCAAAATACCGAATATAGGGAGGTACCGTTATATGGGGGCTATATGAAAACGTGGACCTACATGGCCCATTTACGAACTTAGCCTGCCTACTGGAAAAATAAACATGTGTGCAAAATTTTGGCCATCTATCTCAATTCATTCGAAAGATAGCGTGATTACAACAGACAGACAGACGGACATCACTAATTCGACTTAGAATTTTACGCTGATCGAGAATATATATACTTTGTTGGGTCTGACATGAGTATTTCGAGGAGTTACAAACGGAATGACAAAGTTAATATACCCTCCATAGTATGGTAGAGGGTATAAAAATGAAAAATAATACCCCATTATCGGTGCACCGCTGTATTACTTTTGCCACTCAATTTTTATACCCTCCACCAAAAAAGGTATGGAGGGTATATTAACTTTGTCATTCCGTTTGTAACTCATCGAAACAATCATTTTAGACCCAACAAAGTATATATATTCTTGTTCAGCGTAAAATTCTAAGACGATTTAGCACTGTCAGTCCGTCTGTTCGTCTGTTGTAATCACGCTACAGTCTAAACAAATTAAGATAGGAAGCTAAAATTTTGCACAGATCTCTCGTTTGTCTGCAGGCAGGTCAAGTTCAAAGATGGGCTATATCGGTCCACGATATCGTATAGCCCCCATATAACGGTACCCCCCGATATTCGGTATTTTGATGATGTTAGCCACACTTTTCAATGGAATTGTCTAAAATCCCCATAAGTAGTTCCTTGTGAGTACTTCACCCCCTGAGAGAGAATTGTCTATACAGGTCCACGATATCGTAAATCCCCCATATAACGGTACCCCCCGATATTCGGTATTTTGACGATTTTACCCACATTTTTAAATGGAATTGTCTGAAAATCCACACAAGGAGTTCCTTGTGGGTACTTTATACCTCGACAGAGAATTATCTATATAGGTTCACAACATCGTATAGCCCCCATATAACGGTACCCCCCCGATATTCTGTATTTTGATGATTTCACCCACATTTTTCAACGGAATTGTCTGAAAATTCACACAAGGAGTGGGTACTTTATACCTTGTGGGTACTTTATACCTCGGCAGAGAATTGTCCATATAGGTCCACGATATCGTATAGCCCCCATGTAACGGTACCCCCCGATATTCGGTATTTTGATGATTTTACCCACATTTTTAAATGGAATTGTCTGAAAATCCACACAAGGAGTTCGTTGTGGGTACTTTATAATTCGGCAGAGAATTATCTATATAGGTCCACAATATCGTATAGCCCCCATATAACGGTACCCCCCGATATTCTGTATTTTGATGATTTTACCCACATTTTTTAACGGAATTATCTGAAAATCCACACAAGGAGTTCCTTGTGGGTACTTTATACCTCGGCAGAGAATTGTCCATATAGGTCCACGATATCGTATAGCCCCCATATAACGGTACCCCCCGATATTCTGTATTTTGATGATTTCACCCACATTTTTCAACGGAATTGTCTGAAAATTCACACAAGGAGTGGGTACTTTATACCTTGTGGGTACTTTATACCTCGGCAGAGAATTGTCCATATAGGTCCACGATATCGTATAGTCCCCATGTAACGGTACCCCCCGATATTCTGTATTTTGATGATTTTACCTACATTTTTTAACGGAATTATCTGAAAATCTACACAAGGAGTTCCTTGTGGGTACTTTATACCTCGGCATAGAATTGTCCATATAGGTTCACGATATCGTATATCCCCCATGTAACGGTACCCCCCGATATTCGGTATTTTAATGATTTTAATCACATTTTCCTTGTGGGTACTTTATACAAATGCTTCGGCATATTTAGTCCTTTGAACTTTAAATTATAATTATAATCATAGCGTGTATGATTGAATTCTCCCATAAAAACTTTTAATTGTTATGCGCAGCTCTACTAAATTAGCAAAGTGGTGTAGGTTATCATATAGTCGGCCCCGCCCGACTTTAAGACTTTCTTTACTGGTTTTATTAGTGGAAATAGTTCTTTGTTCCATTTTCTACCAGCAATAGTTTAAAAGTTTGGTGAGTGAAAATTACCTCTGTTGGAATGTCAAGAGCCCCGAAGAGCACATTCGTCGTGAGTCGATCTATTGATTGAAATCGTCGATGATTGTTCATATAGTTGAGAAAATATATCTTTAGTCAAATCGTTGAGGAATCTATTCGAACAATACTTAACTTTTTTGTTCTATTTGTGCCCTTTTCTTTCTCTTTACCTTGAACCGCAAGACCAGAAGATGGAACATTCTCGCATATAACTGTCCCACATTATTTAATTTAAGGTACTGATCTCACAGAATAAATCAATGTCGTAATATTCCCACTCTGCCTATTTATTTTTACCTGATCCTTACTTAAAATAGCGGTCAAACTTTTTATACCCTATGGAGGGTATATTAATTTTAAAATTCTAAGACGATTGAGATATGTCCGTCTGTCTGTCTGTAGTAATCACGCTATCTTTCGAACAAATTGAGATAGAAGGCTAAATTTTTGCAGACGTGTATATTTTGCCAGTAGGCAGGTTAACTGTGTAAATGGGCCATGTAGGTCCAAGTTATCATATAGCCCCCATATAACGGTACCTCCCTATATTCGGTATTTTGATGATTTTAGCGACATTATTTAACGGAATTGTTTGAAATTTGGCATTTGAAGTTCGTAATGAATACTACAGCCTAAGACAGAAAATTATCTGTGCAGGTCCAAGTCTTTGTATAGCCCCCATATAACGGTACCTCCCGATATTCGGTATTTTGATGATTTTAGCGACATTATTTACCGGAATCGTTTCAAATTTGGTAGTTCGTAATGGATACTACATCCTAAGTCAAACAAGTAAAAAAGCAGTAAGTTTTGCCGGGCCGAACTTTGAATACCCTCCACCATTTGGAACGAATTAGAAAATTTCCAAAAATAAAATCCATTAAAAATTCTTTTAAAATCGTTAAAATATCTAATATAAGAAGGTGCCGATATGTGGGGATATACGATATTGTGGACCCATAAAGACAAATCTGTGTCTGCGTGTAAAGTACTCACAAAGAACCCCTTGTGTACAAAGAACCCCTTGTGACCATTCCGTTGAAAAATATGGCTAAAAACATCAAAATATTGAATATCGGGGGTACCGTTACATGAGGGCTATACGATATCGTGGACCTATATAGATAATTCTCTGCCGAGGTATAAAGTACCCATAAGGAACCCCTTGTGTGGATTTTCAGACAATTCCGATGAAAAATGTGGGTAAAATCATCAAAATACCGAATACCGGGGGTACCGTTATAGGGGGATTTACGATATCGTGGACCTGTATAGACAATTCTCTCTCAGAGGGTGAAGTACTCACAAGGAACTACTTGTGGGGATTTTAGACAATTCCATTGAAAAGTGTGGCTAACATCATCAAAATACCGAATATCGGGGGGTACAGTTATATGGGCGCTATACGATATGGTGGACCTATATAGATAATTCTCTTCCGAGGTATAAAGTACCCACAAGGAACTCCTTGTGTGGATTTTCAGACAATTCCGATGAAAAATGTGGGTAAAATCATCAAAATACCGAATATCGGGGGTACCGTTATATGGGGGATTTACGAAATCGTGGACCTGTATAGACAATTCTCTCTCAGGGGGTGAAGTACTCACAAGGAACTACTTATGGGGATTTTAGACAATTCCATTGAAAAGTGTGGCTAACATCATCAAAATACCGAATATCGGGGGGCACCGTTATATGGGGGCTATACGATATGGTGGACCTATATAGATAATTCTCTTCCGAGGTATAAAGTACCCACAAGGAACTCCTTGTGTGGATTTTCAGACAATTCCGATGAAAAATGTGGGTAAA